TCTGTCTGTCTGTCTCTCTCTCTCTCTCTCTCTCTCTCACACATCTCTCTCTCTCACTCTCTCTATATTTAATTTGTATCTCTCTCTCTCTCTCTATTCTATAATCTTTATCTATATTTATCTGTGGCTTTGTTAGCTAAAGTAATGGTATTTATAGGACCATGACTTTTCTTGAAAGAATGAAACTGTAACAAAAAGGCACTATTTTACTAAAAAGTATATTATAGCTTTTCCCCTCTATTTTCTTTGGATTGGATAAAGCCAAGAGTCCCAACCTACATGTTCACTAAGTAGACATGGATGTCCTATTAGCCTCATATACTGAAACATACAGTGCTAGCAAATATTGCCACCATTCAGACATGTAAGACATTAATTTACATGCCACCATTCTGGCATGTAAATTAATCCAATAAAAATAATGATTTCTGCTCATGAGTAATTAAGTTGTTTGGTAGACTAATTCTATCTGAATACAGAAAAATTGCCTTAGGCAAAGCAATAATGGCTCCAAACAGCAGGAAAAAGAAAAAGGAGATATCAAGCATGACTTTTAAGTAGGTGTGGGACAGGAATGGGACCTCACAGGAGAAAGAGCAGCATTTTAACTCTTTCTCTCTCTCTTTTTTTTGCATCACTAGAAAAAAAAGATCTTGAACTTACTAACTTTGATTGATGTAAGTCCCCAAGAACCTGGTTAGTTCTTGGTGGGTAAAACAAGGAAACACCAGGGTTACAGCCTGGACAAATATTTGTATGTATGACAAAATGTATGAAATTTGGTGATGTAAAAATTATGGTATTAATAAATAAGTCGAAAAGAAATAATGATAAATTACTTCAATATTGTTGCCAAAACAACAACACATGGATACACCTATGAGGTTATCAGGGTTAAGTTTGATGCAAAGAGAACTACTTAAATTTGATTGCTATAATTTCCCGTACATACTTTTGGACAAAACACAAGGGTTGATAAGGATAATCTTGAGCCTTTTCATTCTTCACCTTTTTGCTTCCCCAAGTTTCATTATAACAGAGGCAAATGTTTCAAAGATAAATATTTCATATTTCCAGAGGTTTTTAAAAGGTTATTCTATCATCAGATTTCTCGCTCCAAAAGCAGATTTCTCACCTTCCTCAAAAAGAGCTAATTTGATCTATAACTTAGATCAGTGGTCCCCAACCCTTTTATCGCTGCGGACCAGTCAGCCTTTGATAATTTTACCGTGGCCCGCTGAGCGCGCGCAGGG